TTAGCTTTCATGGAGTTATATTTAGTGTTTTGCTAAATGAAGTTCAATATAGAGAATTCTATAATGTTATTTCACTATGTAGAGAAGACAGACTTTATGCTTTCAGTTGCACACTTATCTGTATAAGAAAGCAGGGCTGGGTTTGCTTTTCTATCCCTTGTACATTTTGAATTTTTTTCCCCATTACCCTTCCTATAAAGATGTTGGAGCCATCATTTTACTAATTCTTTGTCAGTACAGATTGATACAATGCTTTATTATGATTGTATTTTGAATTAAGAAGTACCCTATATCTAATGTGATAGATACAGTGTTTCCTGCTATCTAATGATAAAGTTCTACTTGGCTGGTAAACAGTTTCCTCAAATGGAACATGACACAATAATACAAATGTAAAGATTGAGTAAAACTGATACATTCATTAAAGTGCTACACACTTACAATAAATAGAATTATTACCAAGATAGAAACTTAAAAATGAATGTGAAAGAGTTAAGTTACCAGTTGGAATCTAAATAGAATAATACTTCTCAAGGTTATAAACTAGCCAGCAGAGGCATCCACCCCTTTTCTTCAATTGTAAATCAACATTCTAACTGAGAAGCAAATGCAGCCTTTTCTCTCCAAGGAACCTTTCAATTATGTACTAAAGCTATTGAAGAAACTGATATAGAATTCTTTCCTTTTTAAAGAATTCATCTACTGAGAAAGGTCTGACTCATTTTATTAAAATTATAGAAGCACTATCAACATTGCAACTGTTTTAGAAATAAAATGAGGAAATTTTTTTCATGAAGCTCTTGAAGTAATGTATCCAGTATACACTAAAAATTCCAAAACTCACACAATGCAGGTACTAATTTACTGGGCTTCAATTATATTGTTGAGTTGCTTAAAATATGGTAAAAATCACAATGTATACCTTTCAATAAACCATGAAAGATTACCCACTATAGAAGGTCTAAATATATACTGAGGGCAAAATATTAAGTCTGAAGAAAATTGACTTTTTTAATTTGAAAAAAAAAATTTAATGATATTTGTAATTGTCTTCAAGGTAAAGAGTTATAGTTAGAATAAATACCCAACAACAGTAGACTATGATTTTCATAGTCTAAAGCTGGTGAACAGTATGTGAAGTGAAAATCCCTATAGTACTGAATAGAAATTGTCTTTAATTTGTCAATTTTAATAAAATATAGTAATAATCTCCTGGAACATGCAGTTTCTACCTAACAGTGTTAATATAGTCAATATAAAAATGTATTTTGTTAAAAAATATAAAGATTTGACTAATACGTCTGTGGAATACAATTAAGAAATTTCTTTACATGAAATTGCAGGGACCATCCTTATTTTCAGTTACCTAACATAGTGTCTAAGAGATGAAGATACTCTATAAAAGTTTAATTAATAACTAAGCACAATCTATTTTTCACATACATTCAAAATGCAGCAAAGTTTACAAAGATACATAAGTTGGATATAGGCTTTCTGGCTGACTTCATGGGGTCCCACTGATGACTAGGTGTAAATCTTCACATCCATAGAAAACTGGAAAGTTGATAATTGTCTGGGTAAGGACCAAAAAAACAAAGTCAGGGAAACATGTCACCTAAATAATGACTGCTTTATAGATCTGGTAAGAGGGGCCTAATAATCCCAACTACTTATGGCAACACCCAATCGATAAAATGAAACAAGCAAACCCTGAACAAATGTATGTTTAAGGAAGTAGCAGGTTTTATGGCATTGTGTATTCAAACTAAGCCACTTTTGTCAAATTCTATCCTGTTGGGCATTAGAAGGAATATGTTTTTAATTCTTACTATGACCACTACAATTTTGAACAACATTTTATCTGGTTGTTCATTAGGAAACGTGAGAGCCATAGCAACAACATCAATAAGAACAACCAAAAAATCCTTAAAGTAAAAAAGACTTTCATGGTAATGAGAATTATACCAGGAAAGAGAGGGAAAAGGAGAGAATTCATCTCACGCTTCTTGGATGGAAACAAAAAAATCAAATATATTTATTTCTAAAGCTAAAATAGATTATGTCAACCAGTTGGCCCTACTATGCACTGTGTTTGCTACGAATGAGGTGTATATAAGTTCTAGTCAGATGAAAAGTTTTGTCCTTAAGTGGTTCATTAATTCATACTTGCAAGTAAACATTCATAGTTTTAACTGTTTTTATAAATAGGGGTTCTTCATAGAAGAGTAAGAAATAGATCTGCTGAGCTGATTAACTGCAGGTTTGGGGTAGGAGGATCTTTAGTTGAGAAAGTCAAGTCGAAATGATTCTGAAAAGCAATAATCTACAGCTAGTGAAATTGGTACTTCTTTAAAAGGGCAACAACAAATTACTACTTTACAATGGGCAGATTGTAGTTCTAAAGCTATATACCTTAACATTCATAGAGAAGAATTAACCTAGACAGGCATGATAGCTCCTTGCTTTTAATCTCAGGCCCAAGGAGGCAGAGGGTAGGTGGATCTCTGTGAGTTAAAATATAAGTCTGGTCTAGATATGGATTTCCAGAGCAGAAACTCGGTCTTGAAAAAAGCTTCTGTACAAAACTTTGAACTGGTCCACACAGAATTAGGCACGAAAGTTCCATTTCTGACAACAACAACAACAAGAAAAAAAAAAAAAAAGTTGGGCTCTTGAGTAAAATCTTCAGGATTTCTAAATATTACAGCATGGAAAATGAAAGTGATAGATAACGTGACCTCCAAGGTGTTATCTAGGTGAAAAATTATCCTCCTAAAATATCAACAATATTTAACACTTAGAATATAAGCCATACTTAAAATACAATGAAAGATTTTCTAGTCATGTCACTATCGCATTTACAAAAAGTCTTCTAACCATAGTAGGAATGAAGTATGAAACAGGAGACTAGGAGTGCTTTTAAGCGAACCCTGAACACCAACAGCTGGGTACAGTAGTACATTCCTGTATTCCTAACACTCAAAAGGCTGAGGCAGAATTTCCATGAGTTCAAGGCCAGCTTCAGCTACATATCAAGACCCTGTCTCAAAGAAAGGAAAACACAAACTAAACACAGGCATTAAATTCAAATATTTTCTTAGCTACCTACTAAGCAACTACTACCCCAACTATCTATACAAGTTGCATACTTAACAACTCCATCTATTACATTATAATTGTGAGTTTTTTAAAAAGACAAAAAAAATCTTAGGTGGACCAGTATTAGCAGTATTGATGATGGGAGAAAAACTTGGAATTAGCATAGATTTCTGCCTATGCATCTCAGAGAAAGGTTAAAAAAACAAGGTTCAAATTTGTGACAGAAATGGAAGAAATAGGACCATACTGCTTACTGCTACACAGTTCCCCACCCTCTGTGTAAACGTTTACTTTTACACAGTTGGTAATTAAAATTTGACTGGACAGTTTCTACATGTGCAATGCTTTTTGGTCACTGAAACCTGAGTACGTATGAGTTATGGCTTTATAATCATGAAAAAAACAAAAAAAAAAATGATCATCACATTATAACACTGCAACGTCAAAGATAATATGTCAAATATCTTTATAGATTTCTATTTCTTCAATTCTTTTTGCTGATCAAATTGCTTTTCCCTATTGCTACATAAATTATGGAATCAGAGAAACCAATGCAGTTTTTAAAAACTGAGAGGCATACAGATACAGTATGAATATCAATGTGTGTATCCATCTTCAAAGAAAGGATAAAGAAATGTATAAATGAAACAAAATACCACTACCTAATGTAAGCTGTAACTATGAGGCCTACAACAGAAATATATTTTTAGTATTTGTGAAATAAAACATAGCACTATATTTTAAAATAAATATAACATGTAAATATAAAAAATACAGCACTATAAAATGAAAACAATAAGGATATACCACATAAGGATGCAGAATATTTTTATCAAGACTGTTATTCTATAAATCTAAATCTAGACTTACCTTTCAATTTGAAGCCCACTATAACATACTAACCACAACTTCATGATTTTTTTTTAAACATGAAAGTGTATTTTAGAAATGTATTTCCTTTCACATGGTATTTGTTCACAACAAAAAAAATGAGATGAAAAACCATGGTCTCAATTTACAACAGTAAATAAATAATTCAGTTAAAACAGAAGTGGTACCAATCCAGCAAAATATTGATGGGGAGGTTTGGCCTTCTATGCAGCAAGAACAACATAAAGTTTTCAATGGGATTACTTGTTCAGACAAGTTACAAAGATTAGAGGGAGAAAAGTTAGTTATGAGATAGCTAGTATTTTCATGTTGTGAAAAATAAATACCAGAAATGTATGTGGGAAAAGATAATACCAATGGCACTTAAACTTGAAGCATTTTAAGCTTTGCTCTATCCATAATCAAACATGAAACAAATAATTTTCCAAAAAATAAAAACCCAAACCAGAAATACAAGTGTAAACCCAACCAAAGGCCTAAAATTTGAAATTTGCTATGCAATTCAGACAAAATGAAAAAAATGGAGAAACTAAACACCTAACAAAACCAGTCAAATCTTCCAACCCTAAAGTCAATATCCAAGCCACAGACAGAAGCAAAGAGAGAGCACTCAAGTCTACAACTGGGTTAGCAGTTCCAACACAATTCAGATCCCGACATTTTCCCACTCAGAAACAAATGCAGGCAGCCTTTCCTGGGGAAAGAGAAAAAAAAGCTCTCTAAACGTAATTTTTTAAAGTGACACCCAGAAAAGTATGCCTCTTTCTATCCCTTTCCCTGGCGCCTCATTGGAGGAAGGAGGGGGTTGTTTTTGTATTCTCCCCCACTGAAGCAAGAAGGCACAATCAGATGTTAGCTGAAGAAACCACTTTTGACAACAGCAAATAAAAATAAAAGTGCCCTTCCTTCCCTGACAGGGTGGACACCCCATCTCACACACCCCTCCTCACTCCAGCCCCTCCTTCACTCACCCCCCAGCACCACCCCCTCCTCACCCCGGAGCTCCACTGCGTATGAGGTTTGGTGCTACTGCTGCCCCGGAGTGAAAGTCAGAGCCAGAGGAAGGCAATGGAGCCCCCACGGACACACTTACCTTTCCTGCCCCCCACTTTTGAGTGCCTTCCCTGGAGCTGTGGAGGATGACACAAAGGGTAATAAAGGGGGGGAGTGGAGGAGGAGGAGGCAAAGGAGGAGGAGGAGAGCTGGGGAAGTGGCTGCTCCCGGTGTAGGGAGATGTCTCCAGCCAGGGCCAAGCAGCAGCAGCAGCAGCAACAGCAGCAGTAGCAGCAGCAGCAGCAGCAGCAGCAAAGGGTTTGTGTTGCTAAGAGGCTTTTGGTCTCTTTCTCTCCTCTCACGGCCACAGAGAAGGAGGGTGGAGGGGGCTCTGGAAGCAGGCGAGTAGAGGGCTGAGAGGGTAGGAGTCGTGGATGGGGGTTTTCTAAGAAGAAGAAGAAACTCCTCTCCTCTCTCAGGCTCAATCCCCCACTCAGGGCTCGGAGCTGGAGGGTGGGGGAGGAACTCAGCCGTCTTCCCCCCACCCCCCTCAATTCAAGGTTGAAGTGGGGTAAAATTAGTGTCCTGTCCCTTTAAAAATAGAAATAAAAGGTGTCCCCCCTCTGCCACTGCCTCCCTCTTCATCATCAGCTGCTGCTGCTGCTGGGGTCTCTCTGCTTGGGGGGGAGGGGGGGCTCGGGTAGAAGAGACGGGAGGCACTCACTGCGCATGTCCCTTTCTGACGGGAGGCTGGTTGGTGGAAGGCAGGAGGAGGGGGAGGGGAGGAAATGAGATGTTTTCCCAGAAGGCTCCAAGGCACTGCCGACCCGGAAGACATTGTAGCAGGGGGTAGAGGGGCGGGGGCGGCAAGAGGGAGGAAGTTGCTACTCTTTAACACCCCCAGCCGCCTCCCCCCTCCTTAGGGAAAGTGGAGGGACGGAAGTGGGCGTGGACCGAGGCGAAAGGAGGTCACGTGTGGGGCCTGGGCGGGGCCCGGGAGGCGGTGCGAGCGCGGCGCACGCTGGGAGTTGCTGTGCAAGCTTGGCAGCGGCAGGCGAGGCGCCGCGGAGAAGGGGGTGAGCGTCCTGGGTCCTTACGGTGCCCGGCGGCCGGCTTCGCCCGGCTGTGTAGCCAGGCTTTGCGGCGAGAGGTAAGGCTGGTCTCAGGGGCAAGGTCGGGGCGCCGGTGGCCACAGGCGGGTGGAGAATTCCAGCCGGGGAGACTAGGAAAGAGGTAGGCTTGTTTAGGCCGGGCAGGCCTAAAGCGGGCGGGCTGCCTTGGGCTCTCGGCTCCCCGACGACGCTGTGGGCGAAGCCCCGAGCGGGGCAGAGAGTTCCCCCGAGACGGTGATGGACGTGATGGGCCAGTGTTGAGAGAAAATCGGGATCTCTCGAGGTGACGAGCCACTTTACCCCTGCTTTAGATCGTGCGACCTAGTTGGAAGAGCCAAACCGGATGTTTGAATTTTGATCAACTTCTGCATAGTAGCCTTGCTTATATTGGCTACGTACCCATCCTGCCTTCCTTCTTTTCTCTATTTTCCTTGGGATTTTGGAGAAGCTGTTAGCAAGCAACGGGCAGGAAAGGTTTGAGTGAAGGCTCCCTGCATGCCCTGCCTTAATGCTGCAAGCACAAAAGACTGCATCCTGAGGGTGCGTTTGACTGTGCGGTCCTTCATATTGACTTTTGTCAGTAAAAAGGAGACCCTGAATATTACTTGTAGAGGAGAAGAAAGCTTCTTACCTGGGCTTTTTTTTTTTTTTTAATAGTGGAATAACGGTCTCTTTTCCACCTTCACTTTTTTTTACAGTTAAAATCGTTAATCTTTTCGTTGCTTTTTGTAAAGATGTATTGGAAAATTATCACTTAAGTCTTCAATGATCCAAATCACTTAATGTGATTTTTTTTTTATAAGAAGATCCTCGAACTTATTGTCATTCTTATTAATTTAGTTCTGCCCAGTGGGATTCACTGTTAAAGTTACTTGTTTTCCGAATTGCAGTTGGTGCAAGTCTCCACAGTACCCTATTTATGTATCCATTGCCTGGTGCTTACTTTTACTTTGTGTGAGGGAGTTAATTACATTAGATCGGCTCAAAACAAAACTACAGTGCCGTAAAATTTTCTTTATTAAAATGCCAAATAATCTGTTTAAAAAAAAATAATATAGCAAGAAAAATGGCCTGGATAAAACTTAAATCCTGTTTTATGTCAGGGGCTAAATATGAGGGAAAGTGCACAAAACACAAATGTAATGAACGACTGTAACATAAACTGTAACATAAACTAACCACCATGAATAAAGAACTGCAGCATTCCCAGCACCTGGGAAGCGCATGCCCAAGAGTTCCTTCCGGACTATTCTTCCTCATGTGTTCCCTTAATGTCACCGTCACATAAATGTTTTCTTATGCACATAGCTATGTATTTTTGTAAATTTTTTTATGTCTGGCTATAGTTTCATCAAATTTTTAAATGGGTATGCAATTTTATTCCCCTGCCTCAGTCTGTGATAGGACCTTAGTCGTGCCATCTCACCAACAATTGTATTTAATTTTGCCGATCTGATGAGAGTGGTTTTATAATTTGCACTGTCGTCAGTACAGTTTTGTACTGATGGTATTGTCTGTTTTCAGAAACCTACCGGCGGTTTGGACTTAATTCTTTCAGAAATTGTCTTAGTAATCATGTTTTTAAAGTTATTTGTGTAGTTTTTTTTCCTCTCTTTGTCTGTTTTCCATAAGGATTTATAACATTGTGGCAGATAGCTAATCTATTCTTGGAATATTACTTTCTTTTTGGATAGTATGTTTAGCTATCTTCGTTAATATGCTCCTGTTGTTCCTTGAATTTAATATTTGGCTTTAACTCCTGGACACAGGTTTTCAACTTGTGTTTGTCAGGACAGTTACCATCAGCTCCCTGTGACGTTTAAACACTTGAAGGTTGTACGTCGTGTGTCTGACATGGTGTGTGTGCATGTGTGTTTTGTTGTTTGACTTTATATTTTAAAAGAGTGTAAAATACCTCAGCTTTTTATTCTAATCGCTTGTTAAAATGATGATAACATTTACTTTATTTGGCTAGTAAATATACTAGACAGCGTTAACTTGCTTATGATTTACATTTATGTTGGACAGCAGTGTTCTTGACTGTATATTAAGTTAGATGTTTCTACATCTTGGCCACTTTCTTCTGATTAACATCTTGCATTTCCAACTGTCCTTTTGGTCTTTTTCCTTTTAGCAAGGATAGTCTGCAGAAGTTCCTTAATGCAATTGAAGAGTTCTCTTACTTGTTTGCTTCTAAGCCCTTGTTTTGCCTTCAGTTTTGAGGAATTATGGTTTCTTAACACTTTTTGGTTGTCTTTTACCACTTTGAAGATAACATTTTACTGTTTTGTTTTTTGTTTTTTGGCTTCTTTCATCTGATTTTTTCAGGAATTACCTCTAAATCTAATTCCTAGTACGTTTAAAGAAAACTTTTGTTTGTTTTTTTTTAATTTGTTAGCTGTAGTTTCTCTACTGTTTTACTGTGAAGAGAGGGAGATGCAATTCTTTTTCATGCTTTAGAATTTTTGTGGATTCTGGCATCAATATAGTACTTTCTTTGTAAAACATACAGGAGACTGTTTGCAATTACCTCCTAAAAATTAGAACCTTCACTTTTATCGCCATGCATTCATAGTTAATTTGTTATCTTTGACAAGAAGTCCAGGTTCTGAATCGTTTTCAGTGTGTTTCTACTGACTTAGAATGCTTTGTTATTTCTTGGATATCTATACCAGTTGTGGCCCTTTATAGGAATATGTAAGGTATTTTTGAGGAATCACACTTTTCTAGGAAAGATTCCTAGGGTTGCTGTCAGTTGTAAATGACTTTACTCATACTCAAGCCTTGAAGTTTACCACTATAGACACAGCATTTAGCAGTACTTAAAATTTTATGTTGAAATCTTGCCATTTTCCGTTAGCCTGATTAGGTTGCCCTTAATTTCTCAACTTAAACTGGGTGATTGTCTGAGTTCCCACTTTTGATGGGCCTTGAGCTCTGATGTTTTACCATAATCCAGCAAAGCCTATGTGACTGGCCCAGCCTTTTCATTGGCCGTATCTTTGTGTTTGCAAATGTCATCATCATAGAAGTGACAGGATATGGAGCTTATTTCTGGCTTTCCTCTTTCTAGATTTGGGCATGTAAATCCAGGTTGCTTTATTTCTTTTATCATCAAGTTTGTGCATGTATGTGTGTTTTGGCTTCCGCAAGATAATCTGTCCAGTTTGCCTTTACCATAACTTTAAACCTCATACACTCTCCTTTTTTTTTTTTTTTTTTTTTTTTTTAATTTAAGTGATAGAGGTTCTTGATTCTTCTGAATATGTGGAAAGCATTTGTTGAAAAGTAGCAGTTGCTTAGGAGTGGACCAGTGATACTTTGAAATTACTGAAGCACCAAACAGCCGTCTATCCAAAAGTAAGGTATCTGTGAGAGAATAAGTGTTCACTGGTGTTTGGTTTCCTTTTAGCATTCTTAACCACCTGTGTCAGTAAAAATGAAATTAGTTTCGCTGTTTTAGTATATGTAAACAGATTGTATATTGTATTTCACATTTCTTCTTGTGCTGCTGAGATTCAGCTTCATTGATACATTAAGCTATAGTTCATACATTTCCATTACCATACACTAATGTCTCCTATATCAAATAGAGTGAAAAGACATGTAAATGGTTAGGATATTTGTATTTAAAAACTAAATGTATATATCATACTTAATAGTAATTCCTAAAATTGAAAAAACAATGGTATTTAAAACTGTATAGTTTAATACCAGAAGAATTCACCAAAATAACCAAAAAATGTTCTGAGGTAGGAAATAGACTGTGACAGACACCTTACCCAATGTCATAACCTTCCTGGACTAAGCAAAGTACCAAGTAAAGACCGAAATATTTTAGTCTCCCCATTAACAAAGTTGTGAGATGCTTTAAAGCATGTAGAAGCACATCATCATCTGTTTGTCTGGTTTGCTGTTTTTGTTGGTTTTGAGACAAGATTCTCCTATGTAATCCCAGGCTGTTATGGGATCCTCATGTTGCTTAGGCTGGCCTTGAGTTTACCATGATTCTCTTGACTTAGATTCTATAATATAGAATTACACCTTATACTACCACAAGA